TTACAGGACGACCACGCCTAGGGAGAGTAGCAACAGTGCTAAACTTTCTCCATTTGTAGACAGTCTGTCTTACCGTGGACACATGAACATCAAGGCTTTTGGAGATACTTTTGTAACCCTTTCCAGCTTCATGCAAGTCAACAATTCTTGATCGTAGGTCTTCTGAGAGCTCTTTTCTGCGAGGCATGGTTCACATCAGACAGTGCTTCTTGAAACCAGTAAACCCAAAACAGGTGTGTGTTTTTTAAGGGCAGGACAGCTGTCAGCAACACATCCAATATCATCACACTGATTGGAGTCAAGGTTGGCTCACTCCTGGCTCCAATTAGCTCTGGGAGAAGTCATTAAGCTAGGGCCTCACATACTTTTTCCTCCCTGCACTGTGAATGTTTACATGTTATGTGCAATTAAACCATGGCAACATCTAATGTTTGTGTAGTATTATGTTCAGCAGACTGTGTTCTTCTATTGTGACTTAGATGATGTTCAGAGCACATTTTATGCCCAATTCATGCAAAACTCCACGTAATCCCAAGGGGTTCACATAATTTTTCTTGCAACTGTATATGGTGGGAATGGCCAAACTTCAGTTATTTTGGCAGGAGATAATACATCATATACAGGAGATTTGGGGGACACCTATACAGAAGGACCCGTGGGTGTGTCTTTTCTTTAAAACAGAGATGTCAGTAAAACATTATAAAAACAGTTTAGTATACCATCTGATTAGTGCAGCTAAGGGTTTAATCCCTACGTTTTGGAAAGCCCAGGATCCACGAACAATGAGGGATTGGATAAACAGAATAGAATATATTAACAGGATGGAGGAACTTTGTTTCATGGAGAAAGATGAAATGGAAAAATTCTGAAAGATTTGGGGTACATGGAATGAGTTTAAAACATCAGAAAAATACTTAAAAATGAAAGGTCATCCGGTAGTAGAACAGGAGAATTTAAAGAGATCTAGATACAGGATTAGATCAATAGGAGGGGAAAGGATAATGATGAAATTGAACAGGGTAATTTTAGTGGGGGGGGGGGGGTTTGGGGGAGAGATGGGGATTAAGGGAATGTTTATGATGTAACTAGAATTTATGATGGTTTTGTAATGTATTTGTTTTTTGTTTTTAAATAAGAAAATCCAATAAAAGATTTAATAAAAAAAAAAACTTATTGAAAGTGCAAAGGTCCTTCAAAATTTTGTTTGCTTTTGACAATCGATCGTTGAGTTCAACTACGCTCTGCAAAGAGGCAGCAAAATTCTTCAAAAGCTCTCTACCTAGGTTGCTTAACCACTTCCCGACCGGCCGTTGCATATAAACGGCCGGGCGGTGGCACTGCAGGGTCGGGTGGCCGTTTATAAACGGCCTCCCTGCACCCTGCTTGTGCGCGCTCCCTGGGAGCGCGCAGCACCGCGATCCGGTGCCTGCTGTGTCCTCCGGACACAGTGAAACACTGATCGTCGGACGGGACCTCTGTACGAGGTCCCGATCATGTGATCACTGATTGGCCAATCAGTGATCACATGCAAAGTAGTAAGCAAGATGTCACTTGTGACATCATTGCTTACTACGTGTGAAATCTGTGAATGATCACAGAGGTCACATGGTACAAGGCTATTCACAACAGCCTTGTACCATGTGACAAGCTGTGACCAATCACAGCTCACTCAGTACTTCTCAATGAGTGCAAGAATGCAGACAGAGAGAAAGAGAAATGATTGCTTTTACATCCTATATGGCTGTAAAAGCAATCAGTGTAAAACAAAAAAAATCTTCATCACCCCCCACAAGTAGTACAGTGTCACCATGGTGACACTGTACTGCTATGGTGACAGTATGAAAAAAATAAATAAATAAATAAAAATGTAAAAAAAGTTTAAAAATTATAATTTTTGGTTATAAACTAATTTGGATTTTTTTTTTTTACTCAAAAGATAACAGAATAAATTTTGGCCAAGATTTATGATGAAATATTATTTATTTGCAAAATCTTATTAAAAAAACACTTTTTTTTCAAAATGTTTGGACTTTTTCATTTACATAGCAAAAAAAATAAAAATCCCAGTGGTAAATAAATACCACCAAAATAAAGCTTTATCTGTCTCAAAAAAATGGTAAAAAATTCATTTGGGTACAGTGTTGCATGACCGCGCAATTGCCAACGTGTGATAGCGCTGAAAGCTGAAAATTGCCCTGGTCAGGAAAGGGGTAAAAGTGTCCGGTCTGGAAGTGGTTAATCCCTGTATGGGCAACATCACAGATATGAGTACTTGGTCTAAAATCTCTGCAATTTCTTTTTATATAAATTCACGTTGCTTTTTATCCCTTTTCTTCCTCTCCTTTTTGGGGACCTTCCATATTTTAAAGATTCAGTAAAAGTTTTGTTTAGACAAACCTAAGGGATCCCCATCTTTTTTAAAGTATTTAGGCAAATAAAACACATTTGACACTGTAAACCTCTATAGATCAACATTGGCTATCAGAGATATGCTGGGAAAAAGCATAGCTAAAGGGATATCAGGCATTTGTTCTTTCTACAATTTATCAATACCTGTTTTCAATCTCAATGCATTTTGTATTAACAGAGGATGCCTACCCAAAATAGGTCACTGTATTGTTGACGGTGGACTGCTGTTACTTTATCTTTAAACACCATTAAACACGGCCAACAAATGTATAATTCCTTTAGAGAGGTTCTTTGCTTTAAATAACATTTTCGTTATTATTCACAAAGCTTTTTACTTAACCACTTCCAGTCCGGACACTTTTACCCCCTTCCTGTCCAGGCCAATTTTCAGCTTTCAGTGCTATCACACTTTGAATGCCAATTGCGCAGTCATGCAACACTGTACCCATATGAACTTTTTAGCATTTTTTTGAGACCGATAAAGCTTTATTTTTTGTTTTTGTGGTATTTATTCACCGCTGGGATTTTTATTTTTTTCTGCTATGTAAATGAAAAAGTCCACAAATGTTGAAAAAAAGTGTTTTTCTTATAAAATTTTGCAAATAAATTATATTTCATCATAAATCTTGGCTACAATTTATTCTGTTATCTTTTTAGTAAAAATAAAAATAACCCAAATTAGTTTATAACCAAAAATTATAATTACATTTTTATTTTATTTTTTTATATTATTATTTTTAGATATATACAGTCAGGTCCATACATATTGGGACATCGACACAATTCTAACATTTTTGGTTCTATACACCACCACAATGGATTTGAAATGAAATGAACAAGATGTGCTTTAACTGCAGACTGTCAGCTTTAATTTGAGGGTATTTACATCCAAATCAGGTGAACAGTGTAGGAATTACAACACTTTGCATATGTGCCTCCCACTTCTTAAGGGACCAAAAGTAATGGGACAGAATAATAATCATAAATCAAACTTTCACTTTTTAATACTTGGTTGCAAATCCTTTGCAGTCAATTACAGCCTGAAGTCTGGAACGCATAGACATCACCAGACGCTGGGTTTCATCCCTGGTGATGCTCTGCCAGGCCTCTACTGCAACTGTCTTCAGTTCCTGCTTGTTCTTGGGGCATTTTCCCTTCAGTTTTTTCTTCAGCAAGTGAAATGCATGCTCAATCGGATTCAGGTCAGGTGATTGACTTGGCCATTGCAGAACATTCCACTTCTTTCTCTTAAAAAACTCTTTGGTTGCTTTTGCAGTCTGCTTTGGGTCATTGTCCATCTGCACTGTGAAGCGTCCAATGAGTTCTGAAGCATTTGGCTGAATATGAGCAGATAATATTGCCCGAAACACTTCAGAATTCATCCGGCTGCTTTTGTCAGCAGTCACATCATCAATAAATACAAGAGAACCAGTTCCATTGGCAGCCATACATGCCCACGCCATGACACTACCACCACCATGATCACTGATGAGGTGGTATGCTTAGGATCATGAGCAGTTCCTTTCCTTCTCCATACTCTTCTCTTCCCATCACTCTGGTACAAGTTGATCTCGGTCTCATCTGTCCATAGGATGTTGTTCCAGAACTGTGAAGGCTTTTTTAGATGTCGTTTGGCAAACTCTAATCTGGCCTTCCTGTTTTTGAGGCTTACCAATGGTTTCCATCTTGTGGTGAACCCTCTGTATTCACTCTGGTGAAGTCTTCTCTTGATTGTTGACTTTGACACACATACACCTACCTCCTGGAGAGTGTTCCTGATCTGGCCAACTGTTGTGAAGGGTGTTTTCTTCATCAGGGAAAGAATTCTTCGGTCATCCACCACAGTTGTTTTCCGTGGTCTCCCGGGTCTTTTGGTGTTGCTGAGCTCACTGGTGCGTTCCTTCTTTTTAAGAATGTTCCAAACAGTTGTTTTGGCCACGCCTAATGTTTTTGCTATCTCTCTGATGGGTTTGTTTTGTTTTTTTTCAGCCTAATGATGGCTTCACTGATGGTGACAGCACTTTGGATCTCATCTTAAGAGTTGACAGCAACAGATTCCAAATGCAAATAGCACACTTGAAATGTACTCTGGACCTTTTATCTGCTCATTGTAATTGGGATAATGAGGGAATAACACACACCTGGCCATGGAGCAGCTGAGAAGCCAATTGTCCCATTACTTTTGGTCCCTTAAAAAGTGGGAGGCACATATGCAAACTGTTGTAATTCCTACACCGTTCACCTGATTTGGATGTAAATATCCTCAAATTAAAGCTGACAGTCTGCAGTAAAATTACATCTTGTTCGTTTCATTTCAAATCCATTGTGGTGGTGTATAGATCCAAAAATGTTAGAATTGTGTCGATGTCCCAATATTTATGGACCTGACTGTATATATATATATTTTTTTTTTTTCTTTTTTAACATACTGTCACCCTAGCAGTACAATGTCACCATGGTGACACTGTACTACTTGTGGGTGGTGATGAAGTTTTTTTTTTTTTTTACACTGATTGCTTTTACACCTATAAAGACTGTTAAAGCAATCATTTCTCCTTCTCTCTGGCTGCATTATTGCAGCTATTGAGAACTACTGTGTGAGCTGTGATTGGTCACAGCTTGTCACATGGTACAAGGCTGTTGTGAATAGCCTTGTACCATGTGACCTCTGTGATCATTCACAGATTTCACATGTAGTAAGCAATGATGTCAGAAGTTACATCTTGCTTACTACTCTGCATGTGATCACTGATTGGGCAATCAGTGATCACATGATCGGGACCTCGCACAGAGGTCCCATACGACGATCGGTGTTCCACTGTGTCCGGAGGACACAGCGGGCACCGGATCGCGGTGCTGCGCGCTCCCAGGGAGCACGCACAGGCAGGAGGCGGAGAGGCCATTTATAAATGGCCACCCGAACCTGCACTGCCACCATCCGGCCGTTTATATACAACGGCCGGACGGGAGGTGGTTAAATTTTAGATAATATGGGATACCACTTTTTTTTTTTTCATTGATATGAAACTCACTAGTGTACACATAATAATAATAATAAAAAAAAGTAAATGTTCTGGGTAAGAAAACTCACCCTGGTCTCGGGAAATGTCAGGCTTGTACCAATACTTCGACGTGTCCTGCACAAACTTGACATTCGCTCGTGTTTCCGGGCTGCTGTCTGGAAAACAAAAACCCACGTGAATACTCGTAGGTGGATTTGAGACAAATGACCAACAACTAGACAATAAACTAGCAGGAGGAAAGTTTACAACTACATTTTTAAAGTATTATTTTTTCAGAATAATAGCGGATGCTGGAAGCAAATTCCAGCAGTGGTAGCAAGCCAATCAACAGTAAGAGAATCTGAATTTGCTGGGGATAAAAATTGGATTTTGTCCAAACAAAAAGTTTAATAAAAATGAAAACAAAATATTAAATGAATAAAACAATATTAAAATAAAAGGAAATGGGAGAACTGAATGGACCGTGGACCACCTTTTTGGTTTCTTTAGTCAATCTATCTACATTCAATTTCCTTAGTAAAAATATTCTTCACACATTTCTATTTTTTTTTTTTATCCTCATGCATGATCAGAGTGGTCAGTAGGGGTGGTGGAGGGGATGGGTTATTTTTCCCATGTCTGCCCCTTGACAGAGGGAAACAGAATTTTACTGTGATCACTGTCAAACCTTAATGATCACCCTCAACTATGACCATTGGTGATGGTAACAACCCATTCAGAGAAGGTGTACAGTTGTAGATCTTCATGCACACATTACCACGGACCCTTCCGTACATGCTGGGCCCCCACAGTAAAGGCAATTTTTTTTTTGTGACTGGAGTAGAGCTCATTTGGCTCATGAATACAGTATTAAAGGTCACAATACATACTGTGTAGAAGATGTGCTTCCTGCTTATTGGTGTAACACTCTCATACCTGGCATGGAGAATTTGGAGAAGTCTGGCAATGTGTGAGTGAATGCCATTGTGCTGCTACCGCTAGGGCTGGACATTCCACTGGACATGGGTGAAGAAGCTTTTCCGTTCAGGGTGGAGTAGTTCGGCAAACTGTTGGACCGGTCGCCAGAAGACATCCTCCGTTTTTCAGGCAGTGAGGGCTGAGGAACAGGGCTTCCCTGGCGGTAAAGGGTGGAGTCCGGGGAAGAGGAGGAAGGGCTGCTCATGCCTTGGTAGTATGCAGGCGACACTGGGAAACTTGGGGTGGATGGGGCCTGGTATCCAGAAGCGCTGCTCTGCCTGGACAATGTAGGACGTCGCTCTTCAGGGGTGGAGAACCCATGAATGATATGTCGCTCCAAGCTGGGGCTTCCTGGAGTGACTGGGGCACTTCCCGTCATTACAGCTTGGTGACGGACAAGGCTTGGACTGCCTGGTGGCACAGTTCCCACGCTGTGTGTGGCTAAGGGATGTCTGCCCAAGCTTGGGCTTGGGGGGGCATTAGACATGGCTGGGGTGATGACTCTTCTTCCTAATCCTGGGCTTGGAGGTGTATTTGTGCCCACTGTTCTGTGAAATGCCTGGGGGCTCCCATGTACAATTTGGCTGGACAGTGCGCTGACTGGAGGACCAGAGAAGCCATCTGTCTGTGTGATGGCGTTATTTGGACTGAACTGGTATCCATCATATGAGTTGACAGGAGTGCCCGCGTAGGGCGCCATGTTGGGTGTTGGTGATGCGTTCTGATAACTGCTTTGTGGAGATGCCTGAGACAAGCTGGTGGACCTGAAACTGGAATCCGCAGACGGCTGGGTGGGAGTAGGCAGACGGATACTGCTCTCTGCTGATGGACAGCTTCTAACAGATGCTCTGCAGAAAACAAATTGTATAAAGTAACTAAAGAGCACCTGTCACATAGGAGTAGCCATTTTGAGAAGAACCACTAGTTAAAATAACGGACAAAAATAGCAGGAAAAAGCAAAAGAATGAGAGAAGGATATTTGAAATGCATGTTTAAAATGATCTGCAAAGTTATTCTCTGAATGGTCTTTTGTTTCTTGAAAAGGCTGTCACTAAGCTTTGGGTATTGATGGAATGCATATAAATGAGAAGTCGTGTTGGAACGAATGCCATTACAAGTCTTGGGGATTTTCACATTTTTAACACATGACTGGCTGCCAATGCAATAAACATACCTGATACCTCTGAACATGGGGAGCATGTGACTCATTCCCCTTCTTCAATTTGACAACACTGGTGCTTGTCGATTGGCCAATCAGGGATCAGCGTTGTCACATGGGAGCAGGAAAGAGTCATGAGCGCTGTGTTAGCTCCAATTTGTGACATGCAGATTACACTTGATTACCATTCTTCTATACAGCTGTTTCAGACTTGTTGGTCATTATCAGCGCAAGGGACAATGGCTTCTATGGAGGTGGGCTTGTTATGCTCTCAGGTTTCCTTTACTCTAATAGACTGACCTGCCATTTTTATTTGGAAGAGCTATCAATTGTCCTTGACAACAGTGAATCTGGCAGAACACACACTGGTGCTTGCAATTGAGGTTTAAATATTAATGGAGGAATGTCTGCAGCTCACGTATCAAAGAAGGAAATGCTATTTGGACACAAACTGATATTAGAATTCTTAAGAAGATTATTTTTCTCCAGGCAGACAAACATTTAACCATGACCAGGGGCGGACAGACAACTCATGGGGCCCCCGGGCAATAGGGGATCATGGGGCCCCTTGTCCTTGCACAAACTCAAAAAAGCCTATGAAAAAGGTACCAGGGGCATCTCATGGGGCCCCCCTACTGACCCCGGGCCCTCAGGCAGTGCCCGAGTTTCCAAATGGTCAGTCCCACCCCCCTGACCATGACACTTTCCTCCCCTTCCAGTCTGGACACTTTCCCCCCCTTCCAGTCTGGACACTTTCCCCCCCTTCCAGTCTGGACACTTTCCCCCCCTTCCAGTCCGGACACTTTCCCCCCCCCTTCCAGTCCGGACACTTTCCCCCCCCCTTCCAGTCTGGACACTTCCCCCCCCCCCCCCCTTCCAGTCCGGACACTTTCACCCCTTCCAGTCCGGACACCCCCCTTCCAGTCCGGACACTTTCACCCCTTCCAGTCCGGACACTTTCACCCCCTTCCAGTCCGGACACTTTCACCCCTTCCAGTCCGGACACTTTCACCCCCTTCCAGTCCGGACACTTTCACCCCCTTCCAGTCCGGACACTTTCACCCCTTCCAGTCCGGACACTTTCACCCCCTCCAGTCCGGACACTTTCACCCCCCTTACCAGTCCGGACACTTTCACCCCCTTCCAGTCCGGACACTTTCACCCCCTTACAGTCCGGACACTTTCACCCCTTACAGTCCGGACACTTTCCCCCCTTACAGTCCGGACACTTTCACCCCTTACAGTCCGGACACTTTCACCCCTTACAGTCCGGACACTTTCACCCCTTACAGTCCGGACACTTTCCCCCCTTCCAGTCCGGACACTTTTACCCACCCTTCCAGTCCGGACACTTCCCCCCCTTCCAGTCCGGACACTTTTACCCCCCTTCCAGTCCGGACACTTTTTCACCTCCTTCCAGTCCGGACACTTTCACCCCTTACAGTCCGGACACTTTCACCCCCTTCCAGTCCGGACACTTTCACCCCCCTTCCAGTCCGGACACTTTCACCTCCTTCCAGTCCAGACACTTTCACCTCCTTCCAGTCCCGGACACTTTCACCCCCCTTCCAGTCCGGACACTTTCACCCGTCCAGGCCAATTTTCAGCTTTCAGTGCTATCACAATTTGAATGACAATTGCGCGGTCATGCAACCCTGTACCCATATGAATTTTTTAGCATTTTTTTTTAGACCGATAAAGCTTTATTTTGGTGGTATTTATTCACCACTGGGATATTTTTTTTTTTTGCTATATAAATGAAAAAGTCCAAAAATCTTGAAAAAGGTGTTTTTCTTATAACATTTTGCAAATAAATAATATTTCATCATAAATCTTGGCCAAAATTTATTCAGTTATCTTTTTAGTAAAAAAAAAAAACCCAAATTAGTTTTTAACCAAAAATTATCATTTAAAAAAAATGTTTTTACATTTTTATTTTTTTTTTTTATTATTATTATTTATGGTTTTCTTTTACATACTATCACCCTAGCAGTAGTGTCACCATGGTGACACTGTACTACTTGTGGGGGGTGATGAAGATTTTTTTTTTACACTGATTACTTTTACACCGATAAAGGCTGTAAAAGCGATCATTTCTCCTTCTCTCTGGCTGCATTCTTGTAGCCATTGCGAAATACTGTGTGAGCTGTGATTGGTCATGGCTTGTCACATGGTACGGGGTGCTGTGCATAGCCTTGTACAATGTGACCTCGGTGATCATTCACAGATTTCACACGTAGTAAGCAATGATGTCAGAAGTGACATCTTGCTTACTACTCTGCATGTGATCACTGATTGGCCAATCAGTGAGCACATGATCGGGACCTCGCACAGAGGTCCCGTACGACGATCGGTGCTCCACTGCGTCCGGAGGACACAGCGGGCACCGGATCGCGGTGCTGCGCGCTCTCAGGGAGCGTACACAAACAGGGGGCGGGGAGGCCGTTTATAAACGGCAACCAGCCCCTGCACTGCCACCGTCTGGCCGTTTATATACATGGGCCGGACGGGAGGTGGTTAAAGTACAATGCTGTCCTAGATGAATACGAGTTGCACAACAGATATCTCTTCCTTCTACAGACCCTTTACTGAGCCATGAGTGGAATGATGCTACCATGGTGTCACTTGCCCAAGGACCACATTTCCTAGGAAAGGTGATCCTTGGGCAAGGGATACGATGGTAGTAGTCATACCATGGATGACTCAATAAAGGGTCATCCATGGTCATCCATGGTAGGGTCATCAGGCTTTAGAAGGAAGATATATCCGGTGTGTGGATGCATCTATATTCAAATTGCAATCAAAGAAGGGGTTTTGAGTCAGCACCCTAGACAACCATTGACACTAGCGCAGGTCTGGAATGCTTGGTGATTCTCACTGCTGTCTTACCCATCAATGCTGTGTATTGGGCTGCTTGTAGAAATGGGGCTATGAGAGGCAAAGTTGTTGGGGTATCCTCCATTCCTCAGGGTGTCCATGTTGTATATCTGTGGTACGGTGGGAGATGGGGGAGCGCCACTGCTAGTTGCAGCTGTACGGGCAACAGACTCAACATAACTTCGGGGCTCTATAAAAAAAAAAAAGAGAGCAATGGTTAGCACATCAACTGAACAGTCATCAAGTAACAGAGAGAGTAGATGAAGAAGCTGCTATGAGAGATGGATATCTGCAGAAAATGGGAACACCCAAGGCAGGCAACAGACAAACATGCAAAACCAAAATGGCCACTGTTATGTTCAGACAGATCAGCATTATATGCCCAAATGAAAGATGTTATATAGGCCTTGTGGCACACGCATAACTAAAGTTACTCCCCGATGAAAAGTGCATTGAGCCAAATGGTACAATCCACACAAACAGGAGGCATTTTCATCACCTTGCAACCTATCAAAATGAAGACAATGGTTGTGCTTGATGCTACAGTCCTGTTACATCACACCTTCCCTCCCAGGTTCAATCTTAAAGGTGAAGTTTAATCTGTTTATAAGTTTCCTTCCCCATCTCCACTCTCTCCCTCCTTATCAGCACGCCAATATTTAATTAATACCTTTTTTTTTTTTCAGCCCCGTGATGTCATCATTAGTGCTCTGTGCTTTTCTATGCAATACAGGCAGATCATGGCTTCGGGAGGGGCTGGCAGGGTGCTATACACAGCTTCCTGAAAATATCACAGCACCCTGCCTCAGTACTCCTCTCAACAGTACTCAACTTTGATACAAGCAGTGGGCTGACACTTAGGAAGAGTTATGCAAATATCAAAATGCATGGATGGGTGGTTGTCAGTCTGGAGGAGTGGGTGTTCCTAAACAGGCTGTACTTTCATGCAGACAACCCTAGGTAACACTTACATGTGATCTTGAGCAGGGGCGGACTGACCCGAGGGCCCGGGGTCAGTAGAGGGCCCCATGAGATGCCCCTTTTTCATAGGCTTTTTTGAGTTTGTGCAAGGACACAGGGGCCCCATAATCCCCTATTGCTCGGGGGCCCCATGAGTTGTCAGTCCACCCCTGACCTTGAGCCTCCATAATTGAAATCCAGTGAATGACAGGGGCGGGGCCAGGGACAGTCAGGTTGGGAAGGAAAGAGCTAGATGGTGTTGGATATCCTCCAGCCTATAGCTCTCAATCAGCTTGTTGGCCTTTTGGCTAAGATCAAGTGTAGTATTTGTTCTTATCAGTGTCCAGTGGGGGTGCTCCGCCATCATTCTTGCTTTTAGGCAAGGGTGGCTGGCTGTATAGTACCCCTGCTGGTATGATGGGGGCTCCGAAGGCTAGTACCGGCTGGAAGAGAAACCGAGGCGCCCACAGGCTGTTGGGGCCCGGGAGTAATTCCCCTGGGAAAACTGGAAGGGACCAGTTCCTCCTGATTTGAATGGATCTACCTTGTCTGGCCAGGGGCCGAGGAGGCAGAGAGTCTGCGGAGCAGTGCCCCCTGAGTGGTCGCCTCAGGGGTGCTCTTTAGTAGCACATGGGGGTTGGATCTCAAGTGTGAAAAGTGCACGTGGTCACTGTTCCAAACACTTTTTCTGCACTGCGCCTTTTACGGCTAGGCCTTTTGGCCAAGTCCAGGGCCATTTTTTTTTGCTACGGGCCTCAGGGCCTAGCCAGTGCACAATTGCACGGCCATTTATTTATTTATTTTTCTCCCACTGTTTTCTCACCTTTCACTTTTGTGTGTGTTTTTTTTTTCTCCCTAGGATGGAGGGTGTGGGTCCTCGGGGCTGCCCTGAAGTCAAGGGGGAGGATGTGTGGCCATCAGGTTCCTTCCTTCCCTGTCCCTGGGGGGTCTCTCTTCGGGAGAGCCCCCTAACCTAGTGGTTGGTGGTCGGCTTCGGCTAGCTACAAGGAAAGGCCAAGCCTTTTAGGTAGGTGGACTATGTGGAAACCTTTGTCCCTGCCTTGCGCCCCGGAGGATCAGGGTAGACGTCCTACCCCTTCGGGGGGTGGACTAAAGCACACTCCTAACTGCACTTTTTTGTGTATTGCACGTTTTTTGTCCACTTACGGGTTTTTGTTTTTTCGCACCTCCGGGACAAAAAATAGCTCTCCGATCAGCAATGCTTGCTGGGAAACAAGTCAAATGATTGACTTGTAAATGTGGAGAAGGTGACAGATGTGGACAGTGACATTCCACAAAATGAAAAAATTAATCATTTTACTAATCTTTATAAACGGACTTCAGCAATTGCAAATCCCTTTGATTTCACATTCTAAAACCACATTATTTGTTGCCCAGAATATTGTTTTATTAATAAGCAACAACATCGTTAAACAGAAGTAAGTGCCCTCAATGCAGAAAGACTTCCCTGGGCAGAGGCCAGCCAATGCATCCACGGTAACACATGGGATTGACGGAAAGTGTATTTCTAGCGGAAATGTTTTGGATATAGTGTGGAAGGGTTAGCACCTCTGTCAGGTTTAATTGTTGTCTGTAAAACTCACTTCTGGGATCCAGGGCTGGGTACCGGAACACAGGCGTAGCCGCAGTCAATCTGGAGACAGCTCTCCTAATTGGAGCCGGTTAATATTAAAAGGTGACGCTTGGTTCAGCATTTGAGAAACGCATTGCTACACCCAAGTCTAACCTCCTGCGGCAGTAATCGCACCTTTGTGCTTTATGCCAGCCTCCAGTCTTCGGTGTCTTTTTTGCCTTCTCAGCTACCAGTGTTCACCGTGCCACTGACCACCATTGTGCCTCATTGTTCCTGTGTCAAGTATACCCGTGTCTTTAGTACACACTGTGCACCCTTGTGACAGCAAAATGTACCCCAGGGGGGCCCTGTATTTCCAAGAACACCCTTTATGCCCTTGCAAATCCAAATGTACCCTGTGTCTACAAATGTACACTGTGTGCCCGTGTCTCCAAGTGCTCTATGGGCCCTTGTCTTCAGTGCGTCCTGTGCACTCCATGTATCTAAGTGTGGCCCCTGTGTCATCACATTTACCCTGTGTACCCCTGTGGCTCCAAGTGCCCTATGTGTACCTGTGTCTCAAAATATACCCTGTGTGCCCTGGTGTCTTCAGTGTGCCCTGTGTGACCCATGTCTCCAAACGTGTCCCTGTGTCTCCATATGTACCACATGTGCCCCGTATCTTCAAATGTATCCTATGTGCCCCTATTTCGCCAGTGCCCCCTGCACTTCAGGTGTACCCTCTGTACCCCTGTGTCTCCAAATTAAGCTTTGTGTCTTTAAGTGCCCTATATGCTCCTGTGTCTGCAGTGTGCCCTGGTTCACCAAGGGTTCCCGGTGTGCCTTGGTGTCTCCAGTGCGCCCTGTGTGACCCTGTCTCCAAACGTGTCCCTGTGCCTCCATATGTACCACATGTGCCCCATATATTCAAATGTACCCTATGTGCTACTGTGTCTGAAAATGAAACCTGTGTGTCCCTGTTGCCAGTGCCCCCCTGCACTTCCAGGTGTACCCTGTGTACCCCTGTGTCTCCAAATATAGCATGTGTGCACCTGTGTCTTTAAGTGCCCTATGTGCTCCTGGGTCTGCAGTGCCCCCACGTGTCTCCAGGGTGCCCTGGTTCTCCAAGGGTTCCCAGAGTGCCCTGGTGTCTCCAGGGTGCCCTGTTTGATCCATGTCTCCAAATGTGTCCCCGTGTCTCCAAATGTACCATGTGTGCCCGTGTCTCTAAATGTACCCTGTGTGCCCTTGTGTCTCCAGTGCCCCCTGCATCTCCAAGTGTATAATATATGCCCATGTGTCTCCAAATCTATCCTGTGTGCCCATGTGTCTCCGGTGCCCCCTGCATCTCCAAGTGTACCCTATGTGCCCCTGTGTCTCCAAATGTACCATGTGTGCCCCTGTATCCTTCAAATGTACTGTTGCCCCGCCAGTGCCCCCTGTCTCCAAGTGTACCCTATGTGCCCCTGTGTCTCCAAATGTACCATGTGTGCCCCTGTATCCTTCAAATGTACTGTTGCCCGTATGTCGCCAGTGCCCCCTGCATCTCCAAGTGTACCCTATGTGCCCCTGTGTCTCCAAATGTACCATGTGTGCCCCTGTATCCTTCAAATGTGCCATTGCCCGTATGTCGCCAGTGCCACCTGCATCTCCAAGTGTACCCTATGTGCCCCTGTGTCTCCAAATGTAGCTTTTGTCCCCTGTTTCTTTAAGTGCTCTATGTGCTCCTGTTTGTGCAGTGCACCCTTATGTATCCAAGTGTACCCTGTGCGCCCCTGTGTCTCCAAAGGTACCCTTTGTTTCTATTTCTCCGAGTGTGGGCAGCATTTTAGTATATACAGACCCCTCCAGGGAGATTCACTATTTGCCCTGTCAACAGGACAGGAAGCAATGGGAAATTCAAATTTGATTATTTTCTCCGAAACAGAAATAGAGGAGAATTTTTCCAACAGTGACACTTGTTCCTGTAACAACTATTTACAAGTAGATTCTCC